CTGCAGGGTGGGCTGAACACTCAACCCCACTCAAGGCTGAACACTCAGCCCCCACCCATCTGGTGCAACAGAAACCCACATCTAGCCCCTGCCTGGTCTCTCTGAGGGCAGAAGATGACACCCTTAGCAACTACTATGTGATCCGATCACTGTACACCACCAAGGCAGCTTGCAGACCCAGAGACCTCATTAGATTTTGGCTATAATAACTCTCTCCTGCCAGGACCCCCCCCACACACTCTCTTTTCTCTCTCTCTCTCTCTCTCTCTCTCTCTCTCTCTCTCTCTCTCTCTCTCTCTCTCTCTCTCTCTCCCCTCTGTCTCCCTCTCTTTCTTCTCTCTCTTTCACTCTCTTGCTTTGAGCTTCCCCCACCTCTCTCTCTCTCTTCCCCTCTTTCTCATGGAAAGATAAAGATCTCTTGGTTGCTCTGAGTGTCGTGGTCACTCTCCTTTCAGACCTGCCCTTTCTTGACTCCTGGTTAACACTGCTCTGGAGTGGGCCCTCTGCTTAACCCTCCAACACCTGCTTCCCTCAATCACAGGAGCTCACCGTCAGGGAGGAGGCTTGCAACATGAGTCTCCAATCACAGGGATTCGGATTCAATTGGTCTAGGGTGCAGGAGATTTTTTTAATTCCCACAGGTGATTCTAATTTGCAAACAAGGTGAGGACTTGGAACCCAGACTGCCAAGGATTTAGCAGAAGGAAAAGAAACTTGTGGTCTCCGGCGTCCCCTGCTGGCCACGCAAGAGGAAAGAGGTGGAGCCCACCAAGACCTCATGATTCTGTCCTCCCCAGCTTCCCCTCCCAACTGAAGGTAAAAATTAATTGCACTGGGAGTCAGGTCTCCTGACTTTCAAATTGGCCCCAGTAGGGCATGAGAATCCCAGAGAACACAAGTGTTCCCAGTTCTTCATTGATAACAGGAACAGAGGAAGGACATTGACCTGGACAAAAGGACCTGAACAATCCAACACCACCCAGAGTTCTGAAGGAGAAGAATCAGTGAATCTTTCTTTTTCCATATTTTTATCAGTGCATTATAATCATAGATGATGGTGGGATTCGTTATTACATATTCATACGTGCACACGATATAACAATATAATTTGGCCAATATCAGTCCCCAGTGTTCTCCCCTCCCTCCCCTCTTTCTTTCCCTTAGTCCCTAACCTCTACTAACCCCCACTTAGGTTTTCATGAAATTTCCACACACACCCAGAATTTTTCCTCTCTGGCTTCCACATATGAGAAAAAAAACATATGACCCTTAGCCTTCTAAGTTCAAGTATTTAATGAGCATGCTGGTCTCAAGTTCCAACCATTTTCCTGCAAATTATCATTTTATTCTTGCTTATGAGTAAACTCCCCGTTTATAGCACATTTTCTTTATCCATTCATCTGTGGATGGGCACCTGGGCTGGTTCCATCGTTTGGTTATTGTAAATTGTGTTGCTATAAACATAGGTACGCACAAATGACTACAGTATGGTGACTTTGATTCAAATGTAAGCAGGGCTAACAGATCGGGGTTGTTACCATTGAAACGGTAACTCATTTTAAAATAATTTAGAATTAAAATACTTCAACTCTGTTGTGAGTTTTCCTTACATCTTCTGAATGTTGGTAAAATTACAGATATTGCTGTTCCAAGTAGAGTCCTCCAGACAGCTGCATCCAAATCCCTTGGAACTTGTTAGAAATGAAGAGTCTCAGGGTCTCACCCCAGAGTGGAACTCTCCGGAGGAACCTGAAGTTGTTGTGTTACCAAGCTCTCCTGCAAACCTAATACGAAAAGAAGCCAGAGAACCCTCCAGTTGGAGAGAGCTACCATCATTTCCTGATAATCAGAGGGACCAAGTAATTAAGAATTTTGAAGACCCAGCTTAATAAGTTTCACTTGCTTCCCACAGAAATCTCCAAGAACTTTTAAAATTCATGGATGCCTGGTCTCCATTCCCAGGGATTCGGGTTCAATTGGTCTCGGGTGCAGGAGATTTTTTTTAATTCTCACAGGTGATTCTAATTTGCAAACAAGGTGAGGACTTGGAACCCAGACTGCCAAGGATTTAGCAGAAGGAAAAGAAACTTGTGGTCTCCGGCGTCCCCTGCTGGCCACGCAAGAGGAAAGAGGTGGAGCCCACCAAGACCCGAGGATCCCACTTGCGTGGAAGCTTGGTTGATGTGTAGGCAAGACATGCCACCTCTAGACGAATGAGCGTTGCGATTCCTGATTCCACTTCAAAGCTGTTACGGGGATGTTTCTGGTTATCATTTACACACACACACACACACACACACACACACAACCTGTAATTTACATAGCAAAACCTCAGATGGCATTTACTATGTGCCAGTCACTAACCTAAATGCTACACTAAACAGTCTTAAAATACTCTATCTCTGAAATAGCACCTCTGAACTAACATGCAGGTGTTTAAAACTCTGTTACAACCGCACATAGATGAAGGAGCCCCCGTGCATTGCGGGTAGGAATGGGAAATGTTACAACCATTGTGGGAAGCAGCATGATAAGTCCCCAGAACTCTTTGAATAGAATTCTACCTTGGGGCACATTCCAAAGGAATCAAAAAAGGGTCTTAAAAATGGAAATGCCCTGTGTCCACTTATAACTAAAAAATAAATATTTTTTTTAAAAAAATGGAAATGCCGTCTGATGGGGAGGGGATTATCCCAGTGGCTTGGGAGGTTGAGGCAGGAGGATCACAAGTTCAAAGCCAGCCTCAGCAACAGAAAGATGCTAAGCAACTCAGTGAGACCCTGTCTCTAAATAAAATACAAAATAGGGCTGGGGATGTGGCTCAGTGGTCGAGTGCCCCTGAGTTCAATCCCTACTACCCCCACCAAAAAAAAGGAAATGCCAGTTATCCTGATTGTTATACATTATATTGAATTATATTATTTTACCCCATAAATAAGTACAAATATGTGATTTAAGAATAATTTTTAAAGAAAATAAAGTCTTTTGTTGGTCTTTTTTAATATATATATATACACATTAGTTATAGGTGGACACAATTCCTTTATTTTAATGTGGTGCTGAGGATCAAACCCAGCACCTCACATGTGCCAGGCGAGCATCTTAAGACTGACCTGCAACCCCAGCCCCTGTTGTTCTTTTTAGATATACATGACAGTGGAGTATATTTTGACATAATGCACATACATGGAATATAACTTTCCATTCTTGTGGTTGTACATGATGTGGAGTTTCCCTGGTCGTGTGCTCATATGTGAACATAGGAAAGTTGTGTCCAATTCATTCTGTCCCTCCTATTCCCATCCCCGCTCTCTTCGCCTCATTCCCCTTTGTCTAATCCAATGGATTTCTATTTTTCCCTCCACCACCACCACCAGGTTGTAGGTCGGCATCCGCACATAGAGAGAACATTCAGCCTTTGGTTTGGGGGGATTGGCTTACTTCATTTAGCATGATAGTCCCCAGTTCCATCCATTTGCCATCAAATGCCATAATTTCATTCTTCTTTAATGCTAAGTAATATTCCATTGTGTATGTGTGTGTGTGTATGTGTGTGTATGTGTGTGTGTGTGTGTATATATATATATATATATATCCAGTCAAAAATTTCATTCTTAACATTAGCATCTCATTCCAGCACTAGCAAAACAAATGTTCAGAAACAGCAAGCAAAGTGTTGATCAGGTTGAATGTTGGCACACAAAGAGCAAAGCCAAAATCCTTTCTTCCTTCCTTTAGATAAGTTTTAAATGGTAAGATGATGAGTGTCTTTACCTTCTCATGTTGACTTTCGGCCTTTATAGAATCAAGAAGCAGATTGGAAACCCATGTTTGTAAACAATGGATAAAGGATTGTTATGTGGTATATTCCTGCTTGTGTGGATGCCCAATTTTTTTTTAAATACCTGAACCCTCAGTAACTAGCTAAGTGAATGAGTGTCTCCAAAAATATATATTAGACCACACCTACCAAGAATGAATGAATGAATTACAATGTTCAATGAACCCAACTCTCCGGGGCTTATTGACATAATCAGAAAATTAAACGTCCCTCATTTAGATATCTCCCATAACACCTTAAGCACACCGTTCCTGGTGATTTCTCATATCACATGCACACACACACACAACCTCTGTTTGTCACAAGCCGATGTCTATACCATCAGAAATAGTCTTGGTTTTGAAGCAACTCTCCCTGCTATCTGTTGTCTAAACAATTCTTTGCTCCAAAACCCAGGACCTGCCCCTCCTTTTATCTATACTGAAAGCCCCTTTCGGGTCCCAAGGGCTCTCCTCCTACAGAAGCATCTGCAGACACACTCCCATAGTGGGGCTACAGAGTGGAAATCAGGAAGGCTTCCAGGAGGAGGTGGCATGGGGGCTGAGGTCTGAAGGGGCAAATTCATGCTTGGCAAGAAGGAGACCAGGAGAGTGACTGGGGCCAGAGGAAAAGCAGGCTGCTAAGTAAGGTCTCCCACACTCAGGCCAGGCTGTCCTGATTCCTTTCAGCAACCTGGAAGTCAGGCTGGCCAGCCTATCACCTTGGGGTTAGTATTCTCGGGAGATCTGTGACCAGCTCTCCACCTCTCCACAGTAAAAATGCAGCATGAGGATTCCTGGGCCTTCCTTGTCTACACCTGCAGGTAGGTGCCACATGCACTTGACCTTCTGTGTGTGGGGCTAGGGTGGAGGTTCTGGAATCTGGGAGCTAATCAGAAGCCCCTCCTCCCTCTCCGAACTCGGTTCTCTGCCAGAAATCCTGAATAGTCGAGGTCCTGGGGCCGGAAGGGTTAGGAGGTGCCCCTCCCTGCCCACCCCTGCATTGTGAAGTCTGGGGAGGCTGAAGGGAGCAAGTTGATGTCACAGACCCCTGGCCAGCACACTCCCTCTCACTGCCGGCCCTTCAACCAGCCTGGCCTCAATCTCTTCCCCCCTCACCCCTGAACCCCAGAAGAAAGTGGTCAGCCTTGCCAAGCAGCCTCACAGGGCCACCTGCAGCCATGAACACAAAGGATTCCAAGCCCGGGGAGCTCCAGCCGGATCAAGAGGTCCCCACGATTGACAAGAACCCCAGTTCAATCCTGGTAAACAAGAATCCCAAGCCGGACTCGCCCATGGCCGACGACAAGCTGCCGCAAAAGACCGGGGCTGTGGTCATTGACATGGGCACGGGCACCTGTAAGGTGGGTTTCGCTGGGCAGGCCCGCCCCTCCTTCACCGTGGCCACCATCATGGGCTGCCAGCCCAAGAAACAGGCCACCTCGGGGCAGCCAGCGGTGGAAACCTTTATCGGCGAGGCGGCCCGCGTGCGTCCAGAGCTGACGCTGGTGCAGCCCATCCGGAATGGCATCGTGGTGGACTGGGAAGCCGCCGAGCTCATCTGGCGCCACATGCTGGAGCACGACCTCCAAGTGGACACCCAGGAACACCCACTGCTGTTCTCTGATCCGCCCTTCAGCCCCGCCACCAACCGCGAGAAACTGGTGGAGGTGACCTTCGAATCGCTGCGATCCCCCGCCATGTACGTGGCCTCGCAGTCGGTGCTGTCGGTTTACGCGCACGGGCGCGTCAGCGGGCTGGTGGTGGACACTGGCCACGGGGTCTCCTACACGGTGCCAGTCTTCCAGGGCTACAACCTGCCGCACGCCACCGAGCGCCTGGACCTGGCGGGCCACCACCTGACCGCCTTCCTGGCCGAGATCCTGCTGGGCTCGGGCTTCGCGCTGCAGCAGCAGGACCTGGACACGGTGGAGAACATCAAGCACCGCTTCTGCTACGTGGCCTCGGATTTCCAGAAGGAGCAGGCGCGGTCGGAGCAAGAGTGCCAGCAGTCCTTCAAGCTGCCCGACGGGCGCACCGTGACGTTAGGCAAGGAGCTATTCCAGTGCCCGGAGCTGCTCTTCCACCCGCCGGAGATCCCGGGGCTGTCGCCCGTGGGCCTCCCCACCATGGCCAAACAGAGCCTCCACAAGGTGCCCCAGGAGGTGCGGGGCGACGTGGCCCAGAGCGTGCTGCTGTGCGGCGGTTCCTCGCTCTTCGCCGGCTTGGAGGAGCGTTTCAGGGCCGACCTGCTGCGCTCTCTGCCCCCGGAGGAGCACGTGGTGGTGACCGCCCAGGCCAACAGGAACTTCTCGGTGTGGATGGGGGGCTCCATCCTGGCCTCGCTGCGCGCCTTCCAGTCCTGCTGGGTCCTGCGCGAACAGTATGAGGAGCAGGGTCCCCACATCGTGTACCGCAAATGCTACTGACGCGGGGCCCTGGAAGGTGGAGTGTGGGCAGTAAATCCTCTGTGAGCCAGCCCTGTCCTGTCGTCCTCCCCTGGCGGCCCCACCCACTCTTGATGCCCCATCATCAGGGGCATCATCTGACCCGCCCCCAGACCCCACCACCTGGATCTACCTCCCAAAACATCCCTGGTTGGAACTTGCCCTAAAGCAAGTCCCATGATCCACCTCCTGAGATATACCAGTGCGGGTCCCCTAAACCCACGTCCCCATAACCAAACCCTAATGTAACACTATGTTCTAATCCTTTCAAACCATTCTCTAGGGGTCTGTGTCCCCCAGACCAGCACAGGTGCGTGTGCATGCATGCATATACACGCGCGTGCACTCGCACACACACACACACACACCTGCCCAGCCCAAGACATCCTCAGGTTCTGACCTCCTAATCGCACCCCCATGATCTGTTGTTTCTGATAAAGTCCCCTCAAGGTTCCCCTGCCTATAAGGCCCCAGCTCACCACCCTTAGTATGCATCTCAGAACCCCCCAACGCCACACAACCTGCACCAGGTGTTGAAATCCCTTCCCAGAACTTTTTCTGTGCTTCTGTTGCGGGATCAGGGCACCAGCCCCCAAGTGCCCCCCACAACCTACCTCCTAGAAACCAGTCCCCCAAACACACCACTAAATTCCCCTAGTCAATGCATTTCTGGCTCTCAGCTCCCCAAATGCATCACCTCCTGGTTTGCCCTAAAATGCCCACACAAGCCCTGAACTTCCATAGCTGCCTCAAGACCCATGTTCTGACCCTCAAGGGTCTCCCCTGCAATGACCCATTAAGAATCCCTGGCATCCAAAGCTAATTCCTGAGTTCCTTCTGCCCCAGGACTCTTCCTTCACCCTTGAGGATTCCTCCCCCAGACCACCCCTGTGTTCCCACAACCCATCCCCCAAAGAACAAGACGCCAAGCCCCCACAATGGCCCCTCTTGCTCTTTGTTCACCCCCTTGCTCTGGGTCCCCACCCAGAATACTCACACATTTCTAGCTCACAGAGCCCCTTCAACCCACCCCCAACCCCAGAACTTCCGAATTTGGATTGTACTCTGGACCATTCAGGCCCTGGGCTGCCCTCTGTGGTATGGCCTCCAACTCCTCCTCCCGGGCTCCTTCCAAAGACTCCCTCTGGGGTCACCCCATGCTGTGGCCCCAGGACACTCCACTGTGAAGGTTTCAGAAACTCCCCAGGCTCACCTCCAGGACCAGCCCCTGGGCCCCATCCTACCTGTCCAGACTAGGTGGTGACCTTCCCAAGGGCTGTCCAGCCCACTGTGACCCTCAGCAGATACTCCAGTGAGAGCCCCACCTGCTCCTGCACAGGTGCCCCTGGGGACAAGCCCCCCAGGCTCTCCGGTCTCCTTTCCTTCCACTCTGCTCCAAGTTCGCTCAGCTGCGCCATCTCCCCAGACATCTCAGCCTACGCCCCCAACAGAGCCCAGACCTTCCTCTGGGGCCTGCCCTGGGATGCTCTGGAGCCCTCTCCCACCCCACACCCCGCCCCATCCCTCCTAGGCCTAGAGTAGGGATCCAGCCCCCAGGATGGGGAGACTGGACTTCTCCCCAGGTGTGCCTGAGTGGTCTCTGGAGACAGGACCCTCTGCTTCACGCCATCCAGCCTAGGCTTAGGAGCATCAGGACCTCCAGCCAGCAAGGGGGACAGTCTGCACAGTTTCTCAAGCAATAACAGGAGCCATGGGGCATGCGCAGGTCAGGGCACAGCATCTGCAGCACAAGGAATCGTTTAGCCATTCGTCTCTTCATTGGTCACCATTTAACATCTCACACACATTTCTGTGTCTTTCTCTGCATCCTTAAATTTTTTTGTTGGCTTAGTTTGGTTTGGTTTTGCTGAGGTCTCACTATGATGCCCAGACTGGCCTCAAACTCCCAGGCTCCAGTGATCCTCCTCCCTCAGCCTCTCAAGTAGCTGGGACCCCAGGTGCACAACCAGCTCCTAATTTTTTTCCAGTTTCCTCATTGTGTTTCATACTCCCCCCTCCCTCCCCCCCACAAGCACTCCCGCATGGTTTTATACAGGGGCTTCTTTCTGGAACAGTAAGCCTACCACAGCCTTCAACTCTAGCATCAGACAGTAGAGGTGGTTGAGGGTCCTGGCTATGTCACCCACTCTGTCCCCCATGTATCCTATAGACTGGGCTAGTTTGAGGTCCTCAGCTTCAGAGGTGAGGTGGCAGAAAGACCAAGATCCAGAGTTGGAAAACACACACACACACACACACACACACACACACACACACGATGGTCTGGCTCCCTTCCCTCAAGGCAGCCTCTAACTATGGAATGAGCTAGAACACCAGCCCACTGCACCCCACCACCCACCATCCCCATCCCACCTCCCCACCCCCACCAGAGACAAGGTGGTCAGAAGGCAGTTTTTCTTCTTCCCACCAGGGGGCAGCACCTCCAAGCTCAACAGGCCAGGGCCACGTTGAATTTAGTTCCCTAAGATCTGAAGCAAGACCTCAAGAGAAATCCACCCCAAAGGCAAGACACACAGAGGAGGGATGTGGAACAGACCCAGTCTCAGATGCTGCAGGGGGTGAGAGAGACACACAGTGTACCAGGAACCCCAAAGGACCCTCCTTTGAGCCAGGCTAACGTCTCCCAGCTCCAAACCTTGAGGGGCCAGAAATCTCCTCTGCGACCTCCCAACACACACTGGTGGTGGCTGCTCACTACTCAAACCTGTTAGCAATCTCACCTCCTCCCAGGAGTCATGGATAGGCCCCTGCCCAGCACCCACCCCAACCCAGATCTGGAGACCCAGAGACCCGACCCCCGGCCCCTGCCCACACCCCCTGGAGTCGGCTCCCTCCCGAGTCCCACGGCCCATCCCCAGGTTCCAGCTGAAGTCTGTCACTCACTCCAGGAGCATTCACGGAGCACTCGCTGAGCTCAGGGAAGACCGCCTTTGCCCACCAGGGTCACCTCTCTCTTCCCCACTTCCGCTGCCAGTGGGCTGGAGGCTCCCTTACCTTGATCCACAAGCCCTTTCCCTCTAAATGTCCCTGAAACCGCCCACCTCGCTCCACCCTCCCTCCCCAGGCCCCTGGGTTGATCTCCTGGATGACGGTAGGAACCTCTTCCTCCGTCCCCATCCCCTCCAGAGAATGCTTGCGAGGACTTTTGCAAAACTCAGGTCATGACGGCATTATTCCCCGCTCAGGACATTCTGCTGATTTCCACTCCATGCAAGCCGAGTCCTCACTGTGGCCCTGAATCCTCCGCCCATCTTTCTGCACCCCTCCTGGGCTTTCTTTCCATCCGCCTCCACCCGGACACATTGACGGCCTTTCTCCTCCAGTGATGGGCTGTGGGGTCCTCCAGAGGGCCTGTGTTCAAGTGCTGACCCCAGTGCCTTGAAATGTGCCTCTGTTCAGAGAAAGAGCTCTACCTGACCCAATCTGACTGGTGTCCTTCCAAGAGGAGGAGATTAAGACGCAGACACACACAGAGGGATGACCATGTGAGGACAGAGGGGAGACATGGCCCTGGACAGGCCAAGGAGGGAGGCCTCAGGAGAAACCAGCCCTGCCACACCTTGACCTTGGTCTCCCAGCCTCCAGAACTGTGAGAAAACGAGTTCTGAGTTCCCATCATCGAAGGTGCTCAGGTGTTAGGGCACTCGACGAAAACCACTCCAGATTTGTAGTCACAGATACCAGCCACAGCCACAAGGCCAGTCACAGAATGAGTACTGTGACGTGGGGAGGACTTCTCCCTCCCTCTGTGATATGAGTCCGTGTGTCTGAAATGTCCTGTCTGCGCTCCTATTTATCCCCGTGTAACATGCGCTGTTCTGACTTCAGGGCCCAGTACTTAAGTCTGGCTGACTTCAGGTTGCGCGATTCAAATCATGAGGCATCAAGGGCAGCTGTAAACACCCCCCAGGGCCGTCACAGGCTCTTCTGGGGAAAGGGCTGTGAGTTTCTGATTCACACAGGAGGGTTATTGCACGTATGAGGTGGAAGCGTGAACTTACTGTTGTCTCGATTTGGAGATTAACCCTCATCTAAGGAGATGCAGGCAGGTTTCAAGTTGACGGGGTGAAGGCACGCTGATGAATTTCATGTGTCAACTTGGCTGGGCCACGGTACCCAGCCATTTGGTCAAACATCATTCTAGGCGTTTCTGTGAAGGTGTTTTTTTTTAGATGTGACTAACATTTAAATCAGTAGACTACCATGATGGGGGTGGGCGTCATCTAATCCGGTGAAGGCCTTAATAGAGAAAGACTGTCCTCCTCGCTAGGAAGAAAGCCCTCTGGTAGCAGCTGCCTTCAAACTCAAGCTGCAGTTCTTCCCTGGGTCTCCAGGCTCCCACAGAGGCCCATCCCTTAAAATTAGGGTCCCCCGCCCCCACAGCCTGTTGGTTCTATTTCCCCTGGAAACCATGGCTAATATATACACCAATCCCCTTCCTACCTCAGGGCCTTTGCATGTGGTATTTTCTCTGCTCAAAATGTTCCTTCCTACCTCCCATCTTATTAAGGTAACCCCACTTCTTAATATGACAAAAACTCAGATGCCATTTTTTTTTTACTAATTAAAATAGTTGATTTCATATAAACATCAAAAAACTGCCATGGGAGGGGCTGGGGTTGTGGCTCAGTGGTAGAGCACTTGCCTAGCATGTGTGAGGCACTGGGTTCGATCCTCAGCACCACATATAAATAAATAAAATAAAGGTCCATCCACAACTAATAAAAATATTTTTTTAAAAAACTGCCATATGTCAAAAGACAAAAGACAATAAAATAAATAATTTTAGTGACAAGTGGAGGGGGGGAACTATAATGCCTAACACAAAGAAATAATGCCTATCATATATAAAGAGCTATCAGAAAAATCAATAAAAAAATCTCAAAAGATCACACCAGTGCCTGGGAACCTTTCAACAAAGGGCACAAACACTGAATTCTAGAGAAAGAAAGAGTTCTTAG